AAATCAAGATTTACATACTGTAAATTACAATTGACATGTCCATGTAAATTTTCAACTTTTCCAGTGATAATGAATTATTGAAGCCTTTGGTCTCTAGTGGTTCATATAATTAGTCTGTGTCTAGCATCAATTATTAATCATGGTTATTACTGAGGCGTTTTCATACAAAAGATGAAGTAATGTGAATCATATGTTATGACAATTTCACTTTGTTTCGTTTCTGTGCTTAATGTGCAGATTGTTAACTTTTAATTTAACGCTTTTTATCGCAATCGGTGGGGGATCGAAATTGTACATACACATGTAAGCCTTTCACGCAAGTCTCAAATTATAAATGCCGTCGTGTCCGGCAGATCTTTCATACACTTGTACACAAAATAAAAACATTTAAACCTAGATAAAAGATAAACCTAGATAAAAGAAAGAGCAGCTGTATTATATATTACAACACTCGACTAATGGAACCGAAACTGGACATAAAACCTTGTTACAAATTCCATCTGTTGGCCATCCACTGGACCTTGTCATTTCAGAAAACCAGTTAGAGTGTAGCAACCTCCAGGATCTCCAGTGACCTCCAGCCTCAAAATAGTGTTATAAATAATGCAGAAATTTTAAAAACAGAATTTTCTACAGTGCATAGTCCATTTTGTATTCCTATAATCTGATAATATTCAAAAGAATATTATCAGTCTAGCCTTGGCCAGAAAAGAAAAGTATTTAGCGTGGGTCGGACAAACATTATTCCTATTAACAAAGGTATCCCAAAGCCTCGATTTTCTTAGCCTTATCTTTCCTGAATCGTTTCTCTTAAATATCGACCATATGGCATTTATTAAGAGATGGAGGATGCAGGATGTTCTTGTCAAGCGTTGGCAGGGACGTTGGGTCAGACCACCATCTGCTGATGACAAAAGTCATGCTCATGCTCATGCTACGTCGAGACCTGAGAGAAGGTACTGGGTCGGGCGACGGCAAACGGTGATGAGTGGATCACTTAGGAGACGAGAAAGATAATTTAGCAACGAAAGTGTATAAAAAACGAAGCACTGCAAGCAACAAAGTAAACATCAGGACAGGTCGCATTACACGTGCTGAGATCAAGAACGCTATGAAGAAGTTAAAGAATGGGAAGGTAGCAAGATATGACTATATACTACCGGAGCCAATTCAGGCTTGTGGTGAAACGTTAGAGGAGATTCTTCTGGACCTCTGAAACTACATATGGAGTAATGAGCAGGTACCAGAGGAGTAAAAGAAAGGTTTACTATTCAAGCTCCTAAAGAAAGGCGATCTGGGCCACTGCAGAAACTGGCTTGGCATCATGCTTGTGAACATGGCAAGTTCTGCAGAGTAATCTTGGAGCGTACAAAGACTACCCTGGAGGTTGCTGCGCTACTATGGGATGCTCGTCAAGTTCAAGGTAGTTACCATCATTAGGGCTCTTTATGAGTGTTGTTCTACGCATATTGTACATGATGAACAAAATACCAAACCATTTAGTTTGAGGACTGGGGTCAGACAAGGCTGCTTGCTATTTCTCTTACTGTATCTGTTTGCCTTGGATGAGTGACCAGGGCAGCTTTTTACAGCAGGCGTGGAATGCAGTGGTCGTTCATGGCATCTTTAGATGAATGTATTTGACTCCGTCGATGATCTGGCCCTGCTGTTGCACAGAATACAAGACCCTAGGGAAAAGGCAGAGGCCTTGGAGGAGCAAGGTGCAAAGGTAGGCCTGAAGATCAATGCCACAAAGACAAAGCTGATGTGTACCGACGCGGCGTGTAGATCGCAGGGTAGTAGAGCTAGAAAGTGAACAAATTCACGTACCTCGAGAGCATTGTGAGAAAGAGTTAGGGAGGCACTGATGACGAAATCCAGGCACACATTGGGAAGACAAGACAGGCATTTGCGATGTCGAGACAAATATGGCGGTCTGCGGCACTGACAATCAAGACCAAGGTGAAAGTATTTGGTTCAACTGTGATGGCTGTGCTCCTGTCTGGTTCTGTAACTTAGGGGCTGACAAGGTGATTGAAGCAGAGGCTACAAGTGGTCATCAATAAAAGCCTGAGGAAAAATCATGCCTTTTGGGTGGCGTAGACAAATACGCAAACAGCAACTTTGGAGAAAAACATGCAGCGACCGGTAGAGCAGGCGATAAGACAAAAAGCTTGGGGTTGGATTGGCCACACGCTGAGAAGATCAGGCGGATACATAATCAAGAGGGCCATACAGTGTAACCCAGAGCGGAAGTGCAACAGTTGCACAAGAATAGCAGAGTTGGAGGAGAGAGAGAGAGAGAGAGAGAGAGCTCACGTGGCCGGAAGTGAAACGGACTGTGCAAAATAAGATCAGGTTTAAATCAAATCAATCTTTTTACTTTTGTACTCACTCTCGCTAAAGAAAAAATTACAATTTCAAGGAAAATATTAAAAGTAAAAATTTGAGTACTAGCTGCCTGGCATAACCATAGGGGCTAGCGGAGCCAGGCAGACAGTTAACATCAGCATTAAATAGAAATAAAATACAGGTCACCAGGAAACTTGAGCATAGATACACACACAAGAAGAAAAAAACAAAAAACGCTATTTCTATGCTATGAAGGAAGTCTAAAATAGTTTAAGTTATATATGAATACAAAAGATTAATATAAGGAAGAGGTGGAGGGAACGAGTGGACGACCTATGTTCCTCCAGGAACAAAGAGGATTGAGAGAGTTACTGACTGCTCCAACTTAAGCGCCTTTGTGGCCAGATATTGGCATTGAATAATTATTCTCTTCTCGGAACTGATTTACTCTTGTCTAAGTCCAGCGATTTTGATTTTTTTTTTTTATTTTATCTGTGGGCTTTTTTAGTGAAGAGTGATGACCTTGAGATTATGCCAGTTTACTCTGTCGTGATCAGATGAATGGCATTGGTTCAGGAACAGTCTACTAGGGTTGAATGTACCACTAGCTTCTTTCGTGCGCAATCCTTGACGGGTCTTAATCGGTGAAAGGGGACTTCGTTGTTAAAATTTCGGGGCTGATAGTCTGATAGTTGTGCTTTATTGACCACTGAACTGAAACAAAGGGAAATGACAGCGCTTTGGTGTCATTTCATTCAAAAAGCAACCTAAAAAGATATTTTGACGGCTAGAAACAATGGCTTTTCGTCAAGAACACTAAACGAGACCAAAATATTTGATTTATATCCCTATAGAGAAGACGAGCATCCCCGACCTTTTCACAGGAGAGTGCTTCCCCTCCCATCCCCCCCGAGGAACATAGTCAAGTATCACTGGAATTTATTTCTTGAGAATCGCGTTATGCCGCAGCTTTTATGTCATAATTCAACTAAATAGCTCTTTATCTGAAATAAGGTCTGGCCCAGTTACCACATGTGAAAAATACCGCACCACCACAGGACTATATTTTCCGGACATTTTATTCAATTAGGTTTAATAAATATTGCATTTCTCCTCCTCTGAAGCAGAATCATGACGGGACGCACGGGGCTTCTACAGTAAGTACCGCAGAGAAATGGTAGGAAATTTTCCTAGCATTCCTTACATACTCTCACTAGGGTTCTTCGTCTTGCGGCCAGAGAAGGCGTCATAATCTGTTTCACTGACAAGTCGATGATATTAAATAAAAAATAAACCAGAAAGGGCCGATGGAACATAAGACAAGCTTTAAAATGAAGTCACGATAGTAATAGTGCTTTAAAAGTAAATAATGTGTTCGAGTCATTCCCGATGCTTTCAAATGATGGCGGACTCCACCCACGCCAATAATCTGGAACAAAACAAGGTCATTATATATCGGATCACGTCTAAACACACGTGAAGAAAGAC